CAATAATTATGCCTAGAAAGCGGTTGTGGAAGTTAAAGTATTAAACTTGTGTACGATTAGGGCAAAACTAACATGACTTTGAGTTTATTCTTTCTATTCTTTGTTATAACTTTAGAAGGAAAGCGAATATAAATAAATAACAATAAAAATACTTAAGACAATAATTTCACTCGATAATCTAAATCCAACATTTCAATGATTATGCCTAGAATGAAGTTGTGGAAGTTAAAGTATTGAGCTTGTGTACGATTAGGGAAAACTAACATGACTTTGAGTTTATACTTTCTATTCTTTGTTACAACTTTAGAAGGAAAGCGAATATAAATAAATAACAATAGAAATACTTAAGACAATAATTCCACTCGATAATCTAAATCCAACATTTCAATGATTATGCCTAGAATGCGGTTGTGGAAGTTAAAGTATTAAACTTGTGTACGATTAGGGCAAAAACTAACATGACTTTGAGTTTATACTTTCTATTCTTTGTTATAACTTTAGAAGGAAAGCGAATATAAATAAATAACAATAAAAATACTTAAGACAATAATTTCACTCGATAATCTAAATCCAACATTTCAATGATTATGCCTAGAATGCGGTTGTGGAGGTTAAAGTATTAAGCTTGTGTACAATTAGGGCAAAAGTAACATGAGTTTCAATTAATATTCTCTAGTTAATATGAAATGTGTTGTGGAAAAGCTTAAAATATAATCAGAATCGAGCTTTGAACATGATTAATTATTGTAGGCTCCCTGAAACCAACTCCATAACGACAGAGATTAGTACTATTGTATAATTAGTTTGCAACTTGTGTATTCCTTAAAGGCAGCGGACCATACAACTTGCCCAAGGAGGGGGGTTCATGTCCTGGTTTGGAGCCGACAAGAAATAAAAGCTTCAATTACTTGTTTTCTAAGTGTTGCCATAAAATCTCAAAAAATGTACAACATCATGAACAAGTAATAGAGTAGTGAAAAAATATCGTTCACAAAGGATTGAGAATTTAAAATAGATTTAGTTGAATCTAAATCTAGTCAAGTCATATAGAATTCGAAGTTTTGGATGATTTTGTTATCTATTCTATGAAAGTAAGCAAAAAGCGTACAAATGATTTTTGGAGAAAAATTCAAAGTTAAAATACACTAGGAATCCGACTACACCTAGTAATCCATCATAATTCTCCAATTTCGTTATTAAACTATTGATTCTAATGTTGACAATCCATGATCTTATAATACCTAACAATCTCTCTCGAGTAAGTTATACCTATCTTTACATACTATCCTTAAGTATATTGTAATGAATTTATCCCTCAAGGATACATATCGTAAACAAGTAATGAATGATTAGTAGAGTATCATTCACAAAATTGATTGTAATTTTCACTTTTGTTAAAAAATAATCCTAACATTACCACACAAATTCAACAAATTAGTTTTGAATTTAAGTTTTTTTAATTAACAATTAAAATAAGCAATTTGAAATGTATGAGTCTTAAGGTGAAACACAATCGAGTAAAACACTAGGATCCCAAATCCATTGCTGTAATCATATTTAAATCCTCAATTATCTGTTGACGATTAAGTCTTATTTAAGTTAAAAATTAATGATCCATTTTTAATTAATAGTCTTCTCAAGATGAAAATAATTCTATCCTTAAACATAATAATCTCAAATCAAATTATAAACATATAAGCATGTATTTAATCGCAAAGATCATTATTTTACGATATAAATGGTGCTTAATAGTCAGGGTCGAACCTGAGGAGAGGCCCAAGAGGCTACTGCCTCAGGCCAGAGAGTTATGCATAAGTCATGGAAGATGAACATAAGATAGAGTGGGTTGAGGCCATACAAGATGAAATGCAGTCATTTTATGATAACCATACCTTCTAGTTAGTGAAGCTACCTAATGGTAAAAGAGCTTTAAAGAGCAGATAGATCTATAGGGCAAAGCAAAATGAGTCTACTTCACGGCCATGATATAAAGTTAGATTGGTTGTAAAAGGGCTTGGTCAGAGAAAATGTGTTGATTTTGATGAGATCTTCTCTCTACTTGTAAAGATGTTATCTATTCATATTGTTCTCGACCTAGCAGCTAGTCTTGACTTAGAAGTTGAGCAAATAGATGTAAAAAATGTCTTCCTTCATGATAAATTGGAGGAGGAAATTTACATAGAATAACCAAACAAAGTGAGAGGGAAAGATGATTATGTATACAAGCTTAAGAAAAGTCTTTATGGTCTGAAGCAAGTACCGAGACAGCGGTCCAAGAAGTTTGAGTTTGTTATGAGATCATTTTATTACTCTACATTGACGATATGTTGATTGTTGGTAGGAATGCTTGAAGAATTGAAATGTTTAAGAAGCAACTTAGTAAGTCTTTTGCTATGAAGGACTTGGGACAATCAAAGAAAATCCTTGGCATAAGAATCAGTCGTGATAGGCACATTAAGAAAGTGCTTGAGAGGTTCAATATAGACAAGACTAAAGTCGTTAGCTCTGATCTTGCTACCCACTTCAAATTGAGTATTGAGCAATGTCCTTCTATATATAAGGGAAAGGAAGATGTGAAAAGAATTCCTTAGCCTCAACAAAAGGAAGTTTAATGTATGCAATGGTTTGCACAAAGCATGATACAATTCATGCAGTTGGTGTAGTTAGCCGTTTTCTATAAAATCCATGAGGAGAACATTGGAATATAGTTAAGTGGATCATGAGGATAACTTCAAGGCGCTTCCAATTTGAGTCTTAGTTTTAGAAATGGACAACCATTGTTAGTAGTTGGCTACACATATATAGATATGGCATGAGATTTGGATACTCGTAAGTTTACTTCGGGTTATCGGATTACTTTTGCAAGTAGGCTTGTAGCTTGGCAATCGAAACTTCGAAAGTGCAGCAATAAAGGCGACTAAAAATTGCTGAGTGCTACTTATCTTGCTAGAAATTCTAGTTTTGATGCAAGATCGAAGCACATTAATATACGGTACCATTAGGTTAGAGATGTGTTGAATGATGACGAACTTGAGAAAGTTCATACCGATCATAATAGTTTTGATATGTTGACGAAGATACTACCAAAGAAAAGCTTGAAGATTGTTGTTCAATTATTGGGATGGCGAACGCCTCCCCATAGTTGGAAAGGGGAGATATGCTGGATTATTTTCCTCTTATGCGGAGGAAAGCCCATGTTTGGGGTCTTATATTATAGCTCAAAGCCCATTAAGATGCTAACCCTAATGATGAATATAAATACAAGAAAATTGAAGAAAGTAGAAGTCCAACCCATTTTTGAAAAAAGAGGAAATACGATATTTTTTCCCTATGCCCAAATCTCATCAAAGCTACGATCACTAGTCGTCTGTAGTTCGATCATTTGGAGAGGTTCACAAGATATAGAGCTACAAAATCTGAATGGTGAAGATCGAATTTTGAGTTCGGGAACATTGGTTAGTGTGCATGAATAGTAACCAATTTTTATTATTATATATTTTTCTATTTTTATATTGTTCTGTCAAGATTGTTGTTATTTGAAAAAATGTACATTGTAACATATAGTTGAGAGTAGAGAAGACTTAATATACCCATTATTTGATTTATAATGAAAATTTTGACTAGACGAGGTCCGGTAGGTTTTATTCCTCACATTGAGAAAATTTTTTACGTAAAATAATTGCTTGTATTCTTGTAATTTGGTGTGATTGATTTTTTTTAGAATATTTTTCAGCATATATAATTGTCAAAAATGATATTTTACTTATTTTCTGTTGGGAGAATAATTATTCCACTTCAAACAAATTGCACCATCTTCGTTTTCAATTTGCGCTAAATATGGAGAGAAAATATGCAAACGATGATGTAAAAATTAAAATACAATTTTTGGGGCCTAGCCCAAATGGTGCAAAATATAGAACGCGCTTGAGATTTGCACACACGAGGCGACGGACTAGCGCTTATGCGTCTGGTCCCAACTGCTAGGATTTTGCACTCCATGAATTACTACAATATTCAGGCCCTGAACTTTTGGTCCTCCAAATTTTGATCCTTCAACTTCTGATTTCTTTGATCTTGGTCTTTGAACTTTTCCAAGTGTCAATTTTGATCTCAAAATTTTATGAATTCTTTCAATTAACTTTTAGATTCTTCCAAATGCGTCCTAATACTTCTGGGCACTTGTACAATTCCATCATGTTACAGAGATTGACAAAGCAGAATAATGGAATAACTAAGAATTCAAATATATATTTTTTATTTTGAAAAAGATATGGGTTCATCTGGCTTCGTCAACATGGGTTAGATGGATTGGGCAAGTGGGTAATGTAATATTTAGCCCAACTTGCTTGCAAGGTCTACTTTATATCTAATACACTCTAGTGTCTATCCATATCCACTTCCAAGTTTATCCAAAATTCAAATGTTTAGTAAAATAATTAACAAAAACGGATATTACCTATTTATTTTCCAAAAAATAATTCACTAAAACATTGGAACATATTTTGATAAGCTAAGCCCTCACCTTTTTCCCATTCTTTCATCATTAAAATAAAAAATATGATCGTTATTTATCACATCTAGTCATCAATTTTGAAATTCTATCTCTTATGTGGACTTGTAAATATATATATATATTTATTTATTTATTTATTTATTTACTATCACTCATTCTGCCCTTTTTCCCATTCTTTCATCATTAAAATAAAAAATATGATCGTTATTTATCACATCTAGTCATCAATTTTGAAATTCTATCTCTTATGTGGACTTGTAAATATATATATATATTTATTTATTTATTTATTTATTTACTATCACTCATTCTGCCCTTTTTCCCATTCTTTCATCATTAAAATAAAAAATATGATCGTTATTTATCACATCTAGTCATCAATTTTGAAATTCTATCTTTTATGTGGACTTGTAACGACTATATTTTTCATTCTAATTCTTTAAAAAATGATAAACAAAAGAGGCTAAATTTAATGAATGAGTGGTACCGGCGGTGCATGGGTTTGGGAGAAGTAGACGTAACTTCGGCAATGTATCTTCCCGCGCCTCTCTTTTGTAAGAAAACCATAAAAAATAAGTTCCTTGCAATTTCAACTGAATTCCGTAAAAGTTTCATTCAATTCCCAGAAAACCCAATGATCCGTTGTCATAATTCGCTCTCAAAGGATCTTTGCAATTCCAAATTTATCGAAATTTTTTTCTCACGACGCCTTCGGACAAAGTCCAGTCATGAGGACTACTCTCAAATACGAAAGAACGGTGGAGAAGGAGAAGAAAAAGGGCACTTACACCTTCTCAAAAGCAGAGGACAGCACCTATTAACAAACCCTCGAGTCCTGGATTCCATTGTCCGAACGTCTAGCATAAAACCAGACGATACTGTTTTGGAAATAGGGCCTGGAACCGGAAATCTCACTCTCAAGCTCCTTGAAGTAGCCAAGAAAGTCGTAGCTGTCGAGATTGACAAGCGCATGGTGGAGATTCTTTGTAAACGCGTCGCTGAAGGAGGGCTCCAGGATCGCTTGAATGTGAGAATTTATACATTATATGGCGTCCGCTTAAATGTATGATGAAATGTATCACCGAAATTTCTAATTTCAAAACGCGATCCTAAATGTTCTGCTGGCTAAAGAATTGTAGAAAAGGTTTAATGCAAACCTATTACATGGAATTCCTTTGAGATTCTATAATTATTTGAATTTTAAATGGTGTTCATTGGTAATAGACTTTCAATTAATAAACTGTCCATCTGAATGGAAGGGAAATCATTCAGAGGACTTAAGGTTTCAGCATAGAGGAATGGATTTCTGTCCATTTGTGTGGACTCTAATACCAAATTGAACATTCAATGGACTCATTGATGTTAGGGATCAAATTTACACCTTTTTTTCTTCTCAGGTTATCTGCAGTGATGCATTGAAGACTGAGTTTCCAGAGTTCAATCTTGTTGTGGCAAACATTCCATATGGCATATCTTCACCCCTGTTGGCTAAGTTGGTTTTTGGGGCGAAGCTGAACCCATTTAGGAGTGCAACACTTTTGCTTCAAAAAGAGTTTGCAAGGAGGCTATTGGCAAAGCCAGGTGATTCTGAATTTAATAGATTAGCCGTGAATGTGAGGCTGCTGGCTGAAGTGGAATTCGTAATGGATGTGAGCAAGAACGATTTTCTACCACGTCCAAAGGTAGATTCTTCGGTGGTAAAAGTCTATCCAAAAAATGTGATTCCAGACGTCAATCTTGAGGAATGGTGGGCATTTACGAGGACTTGCTTTAGTAAGAAGAACAAAACGCTAGGTGCGACGTTTAAGCAAAAGAGGAAGTTAATGGAATTAATGAAGTTGTCAAAGGCACAAGGGCTTTGTCAAGGTAGTAGGCACTGCCATAATTGTGATGCCCATGAAAATGCAGATGAAGAGAGGGTGAGTGGTGAAGGGAACTCTGATTTGTCTTCTGCATCTGGAGTGTGCATGAGCTTGTTCAGAGAGAAAATAATTACCATTTTGGAATCTGGTGGATTTGCAAATAAAAGGCCTTCAAAATTGTCTAACAACGAACTCATGCAAATATTGTGTTCATTCAATCAATCTGGGATATATTTTCATGATAAGACAAAGCCCGAGGTTGCACTTGCAAGTGATGCTGCTTATGACAACCTGTTATAACAAAAATTCTCTAGTGTAAGCCTGTATTGGTGGTAAGTTTTTTCTATTTTGATCAATCATATATGTTATTGCTGCAAATCCTGCTCATGAAGCCATATAAAATGATCTTGTGCAGTTAAAGAATATATCTACACTGGCGAGTCAATGAAGTTAGTACAATCACTATGTTGAAATTAAGGGTAACATAGATTTAATCTGCTGATTTCATAGCCTAATCGAATTAAAGAAAATTATATTGGAGAATTTCCTTTTTTGCATGATGGCTGTTTTACAGCTAATGGTAGCTTGCAAACTCGCTACTCTTCTAAAGCTATTGCTAGTAAATTTTGTCAACTAACGATCATGGCTTTAAGAACGTGTTCCTGCAAGTTAAAGAATTTTGCGGCTAATATCTGTTTGGGGATTAAAGGTAAGATAATTCTAACCCAGTGATAGATTTTTTTGGTGCTTTTTGGGCATTAATCTGTGCTACGTACAAAGAAAACTTTTCCCTCTTCCAGTGAAATGCTGATTCTAGGAGAACCATATCGAGGACAAGTGGACCACAGACCCACCATGATTGACTAAAAGGGAAGTAGAACGGTAGCATTAGATCTTAATTTGATTTTTAGGAATACTTTCAACACAATCAAGTTAGATGAGACCTCGATGTTTTGACGGTATTCATATCTAGCAATCCTTTATTATGAATGAGATTTTTTACTGAAGAGTTGGGAATTCTTTGCTGTCAGCGAATCTTGAATGAGTATAAATCAGTAATCATGTCATACTTTTCATAGGAAGTATGCTGCTAGCTGAGATATATTTTTATGCACTTAGAAATTGTTATGATTCTATAAATAAATAATTAGTTGTACGTGTTCAATACAATTTACCATTGAGCAATTATTAAAGGTTTCAAGGTTAAATGTAAATTAATGAAATATGCACAGATGCATGGAACACCTGATTCATAATATATAAACAAAATACTTGTCTATAACTATTCGATAGGGTTGAACATTTTATTCTAATTGTTTGAGAGGAAAACCAGGATGCAGACGCTCTTGCCGCAGCAGGCTGGGATCATCGGCGACATCAAACGTATGGATGAGTTGACCTTCCACGTCATATTCGAGCACTCACACAAATTGATAGACATGGACGGCCGAACTTCAGAATAAGAATTGTAATTCTATTTTAATTTTTAGTTTTAGTTGTTTTTGCTTTTTGTCATTAATTGTATCAAATCTTATTGTAAGGGAAGTAGTACTTCCTATTTTACTGCTTAACATATTTTCATAAGCATTTTCATTAATGCAAGGGAAGTAGTCTTTCTAATTTACCGCTTTCATTTTTTCAAATGTAACCACAGTATTCTTCTGTCATAAGTGAGCAAATTAATAAAATTTCGGAGGTACTAATAAGTGTATTCTATACACTTATATAGACCTAAAAATATAGACATTTAATAGTTCTTTAAAGCAATTATAGCCTAATTTATTGTATATTTCATTTATTAGATAAAATTTGATGTTGGAAGTTAAATTGAAAGAAAGAAGCGAAAAATGACGAAATACAAATTTGAGGACTAAATTGCAAATATCCAGTGGTTGAATTGGACCATAAGAGATATTTTAAAGATTGATAGGAGTCAATTGGATGCAATTAGAAGTAAAAAAAAGGAATGGAATATCATCACAATATTACCATAAATCGACTTCCAATTACATTATATATTTTCCAGATTTTTTGTCAAGGATTGCGACCAAATTTAGGCATAGTAAACGTCTGAATTAGAAAATATCTATCTCTAGGAAAACTGTAGCCCTTTTAGTTAACTTTCCAATGCATTTTGAATCAACTCAACCGATTATCGGGAGACAAAGTTATGATCAAAATACCGACTGTTGTGCAAAGACAAAAAATCCGCACGCAAGTGTAACTTTCCTTATTCGATTGGAACTCTTTTGGAAACCAATTTGGGCTTGATTTTTTACCAATTTTCGACCGCTACAGATATCCAACAGGAGAATACATGAAGGGGGCTTTCATACATATCTCTTTTACATAATATACTCCAATATTTGTCAATTATCATCATTAAATGAGGAGAATTCATTGTTTTTGTGAGAGAATTGAAAGGGACTTGCAAGAATTTAATCAAGTAAAGATTCAAACTTGGTATTGGACAAAGAAGAGAGAGCGCAAGTGAAGATTTATTAAGAAACCATTGAAAAGATTCAAGATTTCAAGATTTATCTTCATCTTCTCAATTTATCAAAAATCCGGGTTATGTCTTTCCACTAATATATGATTTCTTGTAATTTCAATATATTAGGCTAGTTTTATACATTGTTAGGATGAGATGAACCCTTGTTATGATATTTTTAGCTTTTAATTAATCATTTTGACTTTAGTTTGATTTTATTTGTGGATGTTTATTATCGTTTTTATCGTTCTTTTTAATTGTTTGATCACCAATTGAATTGTTAGTGAATTTTATTGTCATCGAGAGAGACAATAGGATTTAAGCACAATATAATAAACATTGTAAGGTTTGATAAAGGATAGAGATATACATTTATGCTTTATATGGTTTCAATAGGTGTTCTAATACTTATTAATGCATTTATCATGTTTGCATCTTTCATCGAGAGATAAGAGGATCACATGAGGGGAATATATTTGATTGTTATCGAGAGAGCTTTCAATTAAATTAGGAACATTGACCAACATGAATGATTTCAAATTGTCAATTTAATTGTTACACTAAAAATGGAATAACAAGGGGATTCTACATCTTAGCAATATCTCTTGCAAATTTGATAAACTTTCTTACATTACTTTTAGGTTAGTTGATAGATTTAATAGTTTTTAATTACAACTCGATTTTGCTATTCGATTAAGGGTAGTGTTAGCTTTAACTTGATCAAACATATAGTTCTCGTAGGTTCGACACTCTACACACCACTTTATTACTTATTCACGATCCCGTTCACTTATGAGTAATCAAACGATTAAGTTTTTGGCGCCGTTATCGGGGAAGTAGTACTTCCTATTTTACTGCTTAGCATATTTTCTTAAGCATTTTCATTAATGTAAGGGAAGTAGTCTGCCTAATTTACTGCTTTCATTTTTTCACATGTAACCACGATATTCCTCTGCCATAAGTGGGCGAATTAATAAAATTTCGAAGGTACCGCCATCCTTTAACAAATAAAATAAAATAAAAAAATCTTAACAAGTGAATTTGGAATACATTGAAAAAGACCAAGTGAAATTTATCATACGATTAAGTCAATTCACTCGACCAATAAAATAGTCCATCTTAATCGTGATTTGGTAGTGAATCCTAATTCGTAACTTGCACTTTTTGTGGTATTAGTAAATTAGATTATAATGTCATAATTACTGTTACGGTCCGATCTTATACACCTCGGAACTCGTAGCACCACATATTTCGACCTGATAACGACCCATCCGAAGTGTTTCCGAAGTGATATAGCGATTCCCACTACTGACCTGCCGAAGCACCTCGCCTCCGAGGTCGAGGTCAAGTAGACCCTGGTTAGAAGATCCGCCGCCAATTTCAAAAAGAGATTTATGCCAAGATCCTTCCTGCACCTAGGGTTTAAATTGATTTGACGCCTCCATGAGGCTAGTTGATGTGACTTATCAACTTTATGTCAATTCAACTCAAAAGAAACAAACTGTCCACCCACTCTACAGACGCGGCTGATTGACGCCTATGAGCGGACGCTTCATACCGTCAGATGTATACACGCGTCCCACATCCAACGGTTCATACCACCTATAAATACCCAAGGTTTGGCAAGAGGCAAGGGTAAAGAAACTCTTATTACATAGCACTCCATAGCAAGCTTATATATTTTCTCCTCCCCCTTTATCATTGATTTGTATAGCCTCTGGGTACTGTTCCGACTACTTAAACCTGACTTGGCCGTCGGAGTGTATACGGCCGACACCACCTCTGTTGGTTCCGGTCGTGTACGTCTGACTATTCGCTGATTGTGCGCAGGGAGAAACACGTGGAGTAGCTTTCAGTTGGCCACGTGGAAAGACCAATTTTCGAGGTCAACAGATTGGCGCCGTCTGTGGGAAACACTCCCCATTCGAAGTTTTGCGTTCTCCATTGGAGAAGTTACCTGAAAACTAGCGACTAACCCTGAAAAGGGGGCATTCTTGAAAAAGAACAAAGTCGAGTTACAATCCAAGTTCTCACTATCCTTGAAAAAAGAGGTGAGATGAGCTACAGCCACCCCATGAGAGAGGCCTCTGAAGAAGAGGTACTTCATAACAATGTTACTCATCAGAGACCACATCACCGGCGTCGCCGAGGTGGAAAAACAACCATACTCACTGAAGGAATGGCTCAGATAGCTGCAGGTATGAGAGACATAGCAGCTCAGAATATGGCGATGTAGGAACTCCTCATGCAAGCCCAGGGTCATCAAGGCTATCAAATGCCCCAAGGATCTTATCAGGTGCGGGAAGCCCCTTTATCTCACTTCCAAGACCACATGAGCCGGCACACAAAACGCCCCCTCGAAAGGGAGATGAACGCCGAAGCAACATCTTATGTGCAAGGAAGTCAGCCATCAAAACCACGCTTGGGGGACAATTTTCCTCAGGAACACGAGGACCAAAGGTCGGTAAACGTCTTTGACCTGATAGGGGAGGATCCTAGCAATAGGGTCCGCCCAGCAAGAGGATTAGTTCGTCCGGATCATGAACAAGAACATGCTCCCCCTCCTCCTCCTAGAAATAGGAGAGAGAGGAGGAACCTAGTCGATTGGGGAAGTCGAGGAGAAGCACCTCCACCTTCCCAGGACATCTAAGATGATGAAGGGTCAGATGGGCCTTGTCGATCTTATGAGATTGACGGTAATGATGATAACCTCCCTTTCTCAAGGGAGATCCGAAGCTTCCCAATGCCAACGAATTTCATGCCCCCTAAGATCCCCAAGTATGAGGGAAAGAGGGATTCGGAGAAGCACCTCACCAAGTACATGACACAGATGAGCCTAAGGGGAGCCTCGCCTGCTCTAAAATGCAAGGCCTTCCATTTAACACTAGGCGGGGCCGTCGAGGTATGGTACAGCAGGCTTCCTCCCCTAAGTATCAGAAGTTGGCCAGATTTAAAGAAAGCATTTTTGGACCAGTACTTCTCATGCAGGGAAGGAGAGGCACCAGTTCAACGCCTGCAAGACATGGGACAGGCCCCTGGGGAGACGCTGAAAAGCAATCTCGTCAGGTTTACAGACGAAATTACTTACTGCGAATAGGTCACTGACAGAGAAGCCCTTTCAGCCCTGAAAGGTGGGCTCAACATGAACACTTTTGTTCTGAAGGGACGTGTGCAGCAAGAATCCCTCCACATATGACGAGCTGGTGGAAATTGTTAGTGAAGAAATGATTGATCATCGCAACCGTGCTGCGCAGGGACTCCCTCCTCCTCAGAGGCAAGTAGGTCGACGACCCGCAGCACACCTTGTTACTTAGCAATGGACCCAAGTAGGACATACCATAGCTCCCACATCCGGACAAGCCCTAGCTTCTGCCACATTGAATGCAGTACCGATGCTGGCATATGATAATGCCCCTGCCGAAGCGGGACCATCTGGAAGAACTGATAACAATAAGAAGAAGAAGAAGAGGTCAAGCAGACCCTTGGCAGGAGCAAGGTTTTATACATTCTATCAACTATATGGACATGACACTAGTGAGTGTTGTGACGCCAATCGACGCCCTGATCGAAACAACCCGCACACTTCCAGCAGAAACGAACACCCTCGTAGATCCACCTCCCCGATGAGGAAAGGGAGAGGTCACCGAGAACAATCTCCTCAGAGAAGAGAATCGAGGGACCGAGGCCAATCCAGACAGGGAAACCAAGCCCAATTTTCTGGAAGCCAAGTCATCAAGGAAATCGATACTATCATTGGGGGACCCCACGTCGGTGGCAACACCAGGAATGTCCAGAGAAATTACACAAGAGAAGCAAAGGATCCCCCAATGATCACTTACATT